TGCATATATATATATATATATATATATATATAAATTTTGTTAATATGTACTAAAAGAAGGTGTCTAGTCGATATAGAAGTTAATGTTCTAAAATAAATCTTCCCATAATTGAAATATAAACATTTTTATTTCAACAAACTCAGTCTATATTTCTATAGGTTTATAAACGCGAAACATTTCATTTTCTTCCTAAAGGATCGTCAATAAATATTCCTTAGCCAAATTTTACCAATATTTGAAAAGATATCTGTCCTCTTTCTGATTGCTTTCATCATTATCATAAGGTCGTCAATGCTAAGACTGGTTGGACACGCACTTCCACTCTTTCCTATCCTAAGCTAATCTTCGCATTTCCCTAAAACTAGAACATCCCACATCCTATTTGCGAACAGTAATCTAATCTAGGTCTACCTCTACTCCTCCTAATTCCTGTTTCTGCCTACCAACCTATCTCGCCTATTTTTGATTGACTTCCATAGAGTCCTCTGTTCTCCTATTCTTTCTAAGACCCTGCGTTTCTAACCTTCTCTATCCACGGTATCCTCATCATTCGGCGGTAACACAACATTTCGAACACCTCTAACCTTTTATTTTCCACCTCGCCCACCGTCCATGTTTCACACCCGTACACCGCCACGCTCCAAACATAACATACACCTTTAACAATTTTTTTCGAACACAGAAGTGACTTCTTTTTATTGAAGGCGACTCTACCCTGCGCTATCCTCTGTTTTATATCCCTACTACTACTTCTTCCATTCTGACTTAGGTACCTAAAACCAGTCACTTCTTCTAATCTTTCGTCTCCTATCTTTCCCTACCTTTTCTTCCCTAGCATACCGGTATTTTTGTTTTACTTTTATTTATTTTCATTTTGCAATTATTGGTATAGAAAACACATTTACATCAGTAGCTGGTAAACGGTCAGTGGGGCAGTCCCTCCCATCTACACATCTGTACAACAGAAGGCTCCCTCAGCCTATTTTTTAGGAATCGTGGGTATGAGTGGTGGTTCATTAGAGATAGATGAGCCGGACAAAATGAAGACAACAACAGAAGTGAAAGATAGAATATCACACTACTCCTACATCCTACTTTGCCTATAATGAATGAATAGTAAGCAATATCTAGTCATTTAGACTAGCGTATGTATAGGGTTGTTCGGAAAGTCATTTCGTTTTTTTTTTGTGGAAATGAAAGACAGTTTTCGTATAATAAACAAATACTTTATTAAATTATATATTGACCGTTCTGGTCCAACACCTTTTGCCATCTTTCTGGTAGTAGCATAATTCCACGCTCATAAAATTTTTGGTCTTTGCTGGCAAAAAACTGATCGAGGAGGTTTTTGACCTCCTCATTTGAGGTGAAGGTTTTACCGTCTAAAAAATTTTGGAGTGACCGGAACAAATAATAATCCGATGGTGCCAGGTCTGGAGAATATGGTGGGTGTAGCATTGTATCCCATTCAAGCTGTAAAAGCTTTTGGCGAGTGACCAAACTTGTGTGAGGTCTCGCGTTGTCTTGGTGAAACACTACACCTTTCCTGTTGATTAGTTCTGACCTTTTCTGTTGAAGTGCATCATTCAGTTTGTCCAGCTGATGACAGTAGACTTCCGAATTAATCGTTGTGTTATCCGGTAAAAGCTAAAAAAAAACGATTCCTTTAAAATCCCACCAAACAGACAGCATCACCTTTTTTTGGTGAATATCGGCTTTGGAAATGGTTTGAGCCGGTTCATCTTTTTTGCTCCATGACCTCTTGCGTTTGACGTTGTTGTATACAACCCATTTTTCGTCCCCAGTGATGATGCGCTTCAAAAACGGATCATTTTCGTGACGTTTGAGAAGCGAATCGCAGACGTCAATGCGGCGACACAGATTTCTCTCTGTGAGAACATGGGGAACCCATACATCGAGCTTCGAGGATAATCCCAGGCCTTTCAAGTGGTCATAAACTGTTGAATTTGATAAATTTAACCTCAATCCGATCTCACGTGTTGTTATTCGCCGGTTCACATCAACTAATGCCTTTATCGCGTCTTTATCAGCTTCAACCGGCCTTCCCGAACGTGGTGCATCTTCGACATCAAAATTGCCGGATCGAAATTTAGCGAACCAGTTCTGGCACTGGCGTACTGTCAACACACCTTCTCCATACACATCAGTCAATTTCTTTCTGGCTTGAACAGCATTTTTACCCTTTCTGTAGTAAAACAGTAAGATATGTCGAAAATGCTGCTTATCGCTCTCCATATTTAAAAGGGCACCAACCAAAAACTACTGCGTAGAATTAATTGGAATTTTTCACACACAAGCCTTGCTATATGAGCTCTCAAAGCATATAAAAGTTATACGGCTTAAATGTGAAGTTGGGTGCAAAAGAATACAATTAAAGCCTCTGTCGGGAAAAAACGAAATGACTTTCCGAACAACCCTATAAAATCTTCATTCTTTCTTAAAGTAACTATTTTGCTGTTCTTTTAAGCGTATTTTGATGTTCCTACTTATTTGGCCTATATAAACTCCTGAATATGACTATTCATTTGTTTCATCATCACAATTTTAATAAGTTGTTCAACTAATAATGATTTTTATACATCCTTATATAAAGACAGTAAAAAAAATGAAATATGTTTTGTATCTTTTTAACGTTCAAAGGTGGTACGAAATACATCTCTTGCAGACGTCCTGTCAAAGGGTGTCGACGTCAAGTGTGACATTTAAATCTACGCAAAACACGTCACATTCAAGGATCGGACGAACTATCTTTGAATATAAAAAAACCGCACATTCATTTTTAACGGCACATAGAAATTTCGTCTAGCGTGAAAGTAAGAGGAGATAGAAGTTAAAATGTGCAAAAACAAGTAGTGAAAAGGTCAAGAGAGGGCGGAAGAGACGGGGTACGGCGGGGAGAGTTCGGGGGTTGATGTGCAAGAAGCACCGCGTGATTTTATCTTTGAGATTTCGAGGGTCTCTACAGATACTGCCTCTTCAGATCCTTCGCGCTTCGATGAATTAGAATTTTAATGCAACTCGAGGGAAACATATTCCGGTGCTTGAAGAAGAGGGTAAATTGGAGGGTGAATACACCTTACATACTTCGGCCTTTATACAGAGGCGACGGTGTGATTTCCGAATTAATTTACCCTTTCTGACGCACACAAGTCGAAGCTATGTCAACAATTATTATTCTCGTTTTCTTTTCTTTTTTTAATTACAAGAAAATTATTTCTAGTATTCCTGGAGACTAAAGACTGATGCTATAAAATGTTTATATACTGGGTGGCCACCTATTTCCACAATTTCTAGAGGGGGTGAAAAGATTTGGCATTACAGTTCTAAGGCTCTGAAGATGCCTCTATAAAAGATAAAAACTACATTTTGAAGACTTGCCTTTATT